TGGCCAAAGTATTTGAGTTTCATCTCCAGGATTTGGCCTTCTAAAGAGCAGTCAGGGTTGATCTCCTCAAGGACTGACCGTTGGATGGCCTTGCAGTCCAAGGGACTCAATGCAGGAGTCTTCTTCTCCAGCACCAGAGTTCAAAGGCCTCAATTCTGTGGCGCTCAGTCTTTCTTGTGGTCCAACCTTCACAGCCATCCATTGCAACTACAATGTTCTTTAGAGTGTGCAAAACACAACATTGCAGCCCTCTTTCCCAGGAATGCACTTTGAAGCAGCCTTTTGGGTGAAATTCAAAATGCCACAGAATCCTAACAAGCATTTCTTCAAAGTCCAACTGCTTCAGAAGGCAGGAGAGAGTTCTTATGATCCCACGGACCGAAGAGGAGGGGCTGCAGAACACAGGAACACCCCCCGCTTTCCCCCACCCCCAATTAGAGCCTAGGAGAAGCAGAGGCCTTTAAAGGCCTTGAGGGATTCAGGTTTGGGTTTTCGAAAGGAAATTTCTGGAGGGAAATAGAAATTAATCGGGAAGGATTCTTGTTCTGGAGCATTTTTCTGTAGATAACCTATATTGAGGCAACTGTTTCAAGGATAAATATAAACTTAAAAGTACACACAGCAGAGGTGTGTGGAAAATGGCTGCTAGAAAAACTGCTGTAAGATCTCTGAAGGAGGGAAAGCAATTGTGTTTGTTTTGTTTTATCATGCTGGTTGCAACAGAAGCAGACAAGTTGACGGTACCCTACAAGACGACATAGGCAGCAGTTTCAATGCAGATGTCGAAATTTTATCCATTCAGAGAACGTTGTGCAATGATTGAGACAGAAACGCAGATCTTCACAGATTGGATATCATGATGTTATAAAATAATCACTGGTCTGAAATGCTCCCCTCGATGTGGGTTGCATTGTAGAGATGGGCTGGATTCATGTTAAATCCTAGTTTGAATGACTAAATTAGGCAGAACTAAATTGGTTCAAACAATTTGCTGATTCCAAATACACAAAACGGCTTTATGCCTTAAAAAGTGAATGAAGGTCTCTGCATGTTGCAACTTGTATCCTTGGTGATTTCCTGGTTTGCACTAATGTGACACCCATTGTAGGTAGATTTTGCAATTCTCCACATTGCCCCTTAAAGCGGGGGGGGGGGGAGGATTTGCTGTGAATACCAGCCATTCTTATTTAAGGAAAAAGAGAGGAATGCGTTTAGAGATAGCATCTGAAACAGGGACGTGCGGTGAGGTTTATGACTGGTGAGGCAATAGCAGCAGCAATAGCAGTTAGACTTATATACCGCTTCATAGGGCTTTCAGCCCNGCTGGCTGGGGAATTCTGGGAGTTGAAGTCCGGACATCTTCAAGTTGCCAAGGTTGAGAAACACTGGCTTAAGACATGCACACCACCAATACTGTTGTATTATCTCAAAACAAACAAACAAATAGTTTAATGTTCAGCTCAGTTAGAGAAGGGGTGTCCCAACCTTCTTGGCAACTTTAAGAATTCTGGGACTTGAAGTCAAAAAGTCTTAAAGTTGCCAAGATCGTGTGCAACCTGAATTACAGTAGATTTATCAGTATACTCATGAACTCTCTAGACAGAGATATTCCATATTATGTCACCAGTTCCCCTTTTGTGTTCAGCTCTGTTGCAATTTATGGCCTTCTTTTTGATGCCACTTCCTCTCTCTTTACAAGGTTCACCTCATTTCTCTATCTTAGCTCAGCAAAGGAAACTATCTGGGCCTTCTTAAGACGTGATGGGCTGCTGTGGTCATCAAATGGAATGATCAAGAAATGGTGATTCATTCTTAGGATTTAAGGGGCACTTGGCTGCCCCAGCAAAAGTCCATCTTCCTTTTCTCCTCTCCTTTTTATTTCCAAAAGTCAAAATCTTTGGACTGGCCATTGAATTGTAGTTTATTCTGATACATTGCCTGCAGGCTTGATATTTTATTTCTGCCAGTTGCTCTTCTTTGAGATGTCATCTTGTTGACAGAAGGCTGGTCATACAGCTTTTTATATTTATTTATGTATTAATCAAATCGATAATAGCTGCCCATCTCATCAAAAAATGACTCTGGGAGGTGCACAATAATAACATCTCCATTAACCAGCCAAACTTCTAAACTCTGAGAATATTGTCATATTATCAATAAGACTTTGATGTCTTTACATTGTGCCTAGGGGAGAAAATACACACCAAGTACAGCTTCATATAGTAGGAAAGCTACTACATCTTGCCCTTGGCTGCAGAAAGCCAAATATACTAGTATAAACTTGTCATCCCCTTCCCAACCCAAGACAATCCCATTAGCAGAAGACCTATCCTGATGTGACTGGGCCTTCTTGTTTCCGATATAAAAACCAGGCATTGTTTTCCCTGTTTTGAGTCAACACAGACTCCCTTTTGCTGTTTACCAAATGACAGACACCTGAACTAGTCACCTGAGAATACCTCGGGCATCAAAGCCACAACACAACAGAGAATTGCAGAAGTTCGGCAAAACTCAGGCTAATTCAACGGAGCCTCCCTTGAAGAGTTCATATGTTGTTGCAAGTCAACCCAAAAAATAGGGGACAATTTCGACAACCCATCTGTGAGGCTGAGGGGACCTTTGTCATCTTCCCACAGGGCAATGATACCTCAAAGGCTCAACGTTATTGGGGTAGCAACGGTTTATATCTGTTGTTCGTCATAATATGTGAGGTGGTGAATCTTTTGTTCTGTCAAGCACAATCTTTTCTCAATGATAGTTCCATTGAGTCCTCACATGATAAGTCTAGTCAAATCTAAGTATATCTTCCCTATCTCTTTGATGTCCTTTGTTGGCTACCTCCGAAGAGGCCTTTATCAAAAGGCTGAACTGATTTCTCTCCTTTGAGAATCGGAGAGTTGCGGATTTTCTGGCACTAGTGTGCCTTTTCTCTTCAAACAACTGCGTGTTACAGATGGGCAAGAGAGATAGCACATCGCTCGCACGCAAACATTTCACAACAAGTCCTAATCAACTGCCAGGAAAAAAAAAGCATTTCGTGGGGCTGAGTAACACTATCTTCAGATAGACAGAAATATTCCTTTCCTCGTTAAAACCCCAGGAAAAAATAATAATTGTCCTGCTTGGCAACTGGATTTAAGAAAAAAAACTTCGCCTGAATAACAAGGGACACAATAGGATTGGGCCGCATTTCATTTCTCAAATGTTCTTTGTTGTTAGTTGCGAAGTCGTGTCCGACCCATCGCAACCTTATGGACAACATTCCTCCAGGCCTTCCTCTGTCCTCTACCATCCTCTGGAGTCCATTTAAGCTCACGCCNA